TGTATATGTAGATGTTAATGTTCACACTAGGTACTAAAAATTATAAAAAATAATTTTAATTTAATAACAAACCTTACTTACCGAGTTTAAGGCATCTGGCAGATGATTGAATTTTGGACTTTCCAAGATAATTGAGTTCCTCATTAAGAAATTTGTTGCTTAAATTTGCAATATTTTCATCAAACTTGTAATTTTAGTTAAAACATCGACATAGAGTAGAAAAATAATTGGACCCAAAACTGATCCCTGTGGAATGCCGTATTTAACTTTGGAGTTTTTTGAAAGTATAACTTTGGTCGATAAATAACTTTTTAACCATTGTATATTTCGTGTCTGACGTAGTCAAGTCCCTTTGAAAATTCGCAAAATAAACCCATATTTATGTTAGAGTAGGTTATATTAACATTATAGGCTTGAGCTATTGAAAGAAAATAGAGTTTTTGAGAAGGTGAATATTTCCAATATACCGTACCAATCATGCTCCTAATATGAGACTCTATTTATAAATTAAATATTGCGAACTAGTATTATACATAGTTTTAAATAATTTAACCTAATTCTTGAGTTCAACCGAAAAATAGATAACATTAATGAATGTGTATGGAACTTTCTTACGAGTACATGCACTGTAACTAACTGGCTCTATGAATATTTTAACACTAGTGTATTTCCTTATAATTCCATCAAGCTTATAGGAGACGAGTTCAAAGGGACCCTGGATCGGATCGTGTCTAATTTGCTATGAATAATTGTCATATATATAGGGGATGTAATTTGTCTGCATCTCCATTAAGCATCAGCCCATTCAAACTTTATTAGATTAGTATCACTACCCCTATTCTTTTCTATCGCAAGAGAACCAGTTCTAATTATTCTCTGTGTGTTATTATTCACTCGTTATTCAATTTGCATGTTGTTAGGTTGATTTTATGATGGGAGCAGATTAAAGATTAGATGTGATAAGTAACCAAAATTGATTTTTTATTTTATTCACGTATTTATTTCCGTAGAACTCCTATTCCGACATTTTTTCGTGTTTTCAGCCAATTATGTATTGAAAATTTTTGCATATCTTTCGCAATTTTAAAGTAAAATATTAAATAATTAGGTATATACCAACAAATAACGTTTTTCCATTAGTCTCAATTTTTGTTGACTGTTACATTTTATTACTTTTCTCCCAAATTTCATACTTCAAACTAATATACTGTTGCACGCTGCAGTAGCCTGCGGCTGTTATAGGAAACGTATGAATAAGAGGAGAAGTGCAAGGTCACCCATCACCCAAAATTGGTGAAATCGGTAGGATACAAAATAAAAGTTATCTAAGTATTTTATTCATGGTAAATACTAGATCCACTGCGTACCAAACAGACATGGATACTTCAGGCCCAACAGCATGGTTTTTGAAGATAGAAGAGGAGAGTGAAAGGCGCAGGAAGAAAGAAGAAGAAAAGGAAACGCGCAAAAAGGAAGAAGAAGAAGAAGAATAAGAAGAAGAAGAAGAAGAAGAAGAAGAAGAAGAAGAAGAAGAAGAAGAAGAAGAAGAAGAAGAAGAAGAAGAAGAAGAAGAAGAAGAAGAAGAAGAAGAAGAAGAAGAAGAAGAAGAAGAAGAAGAAGAAGAAGAAGAAGAAGAAGAAGAAGAAGAAGAAGAAGAAGAAGAAGAAGAAGAAGAAGAAAGAAGAAGAAGAAAGAAGAAGAAGAAGAGGAAAAGGAAAGGCGCCGGAAGGAGTAAAAGGAGGAAAGGGAAAGGCGAAAAGAGGAAAAGGAAAGCCGCAAAAAGAGAAGGAAGAGAGGCCTAGAAAAGCAGAGGTGGAAATTATGAATGGTTTGTTACAAATTCAAAAAAAAATGTAAGCAAGAGGTAGGCCAACTTAAAAGTCGAATAGATCTCTTAGCAAAACAACAAGAGAATTTAAAAACTAACAACAAGAAAAGGCTAGAGTAGAGTTGGAAAGGCAAATGCAAGTTAGAACTGAACTAATTGAGTTACCAAAAATTAGTGTAGCATAAGAAAAAATGATTGCGTATTCTAGTAAGACCTTGGGGAAAGCTACGAAGCAGTGGCGGCTCGTGGGGTGGTTCACAGTGTCAGAATATAGGTATCAGTACAGATGAATGAAAAAACTTTCAGTGTTTTAGAAAGTTTATAATATATCTTTCTAAAACACTGTTTTTTCCTATATCTGTACCGGGATCTATATTCTGCTATTGTGAACCCCCAAAATTTTGGTCACGAGCCGCACCTGCCACGAAGAAGTATTGTGTCACTAGGAAAGATAGATACTGTCAAATCCCTTGAACACATCCATACTTACCTTTTTAACAGAAGTTTTATCATTGGAAGTGACCATAACGCCATGCAGTGGCTGATAAATTTTAAAAAACCTGAAGGACAAGTTGCTAGATGGATAGAAAGACTGCAACGGTATAACTTGGTGATAGTTCATCGAAGATACCGTCTCCACAGCAACGCAGATATTCTTTCCAGGCGACCCTATTTAGAACGACAATACCGGTACTATAAAAGGTTCAAAGAACGAGAGGAGCCGATTGTAGCAATTGGTCTTCAGACAATCCCTATCAAGCCGGAAGATGACGAAAAAGGATTCACCCTTGAAAGCCTGAGAAAGACCCAAAAGAAAGATAATGATTTGAAGGTTGTCTCAGAATGGCTCAAAAATGAAGTCTGACCTACTTGGCAAAAATTAGCTAAATATAATGGAACTATTAAAGGGTATTTCTGGATGGCCTATTGCACCAGAAGTGGGCGAGCCCCGAAATCACATGTCAGAAATTTGTTGAAGGAGCTTCATAACAGCCGTTCAGGAGAATTTGGTACTAAAAAAAACAATGTCACGAGTTCGGGAAAGATTTTATTGGGTCACCTGCCAACGGGATGTAGAAGATTGGTGTAAGAAATGCGATCTATGCAATGGCAGAAATGGGCATAAAACAACAAGCCGAGGTAAAAGAGCACAGTACCTTTCCGAAGAGCCTTTCGAACAAATCGTCATAGATATCCTCGGACCACTTTCCTTAACAGAAAGGGGAATTAAATACTTGATGGTTGTTATGGACTACTTATCAAAGTGGTTCGAAATAGCGCTTATTTCTTATCAGGAAGTAACGATAGTAGCTAAAGCAATTATGACAAACGTCATAACGAGACATGGAGTCCCTCTGAAATAGCATTCTGACCAAGGACGAAATTTTGACGCACTATGCCTCTCCACCCACAGTTCGACGGAATGGTAGAAATACACCATTGAACCATATGCCAGTATCTTTCAATGTTCGCTAAAAGGACTGAGACACAAACCTCTATTTCTGTCAGCTTACCGAAGTTCTGAACATGAATAGACAAGTTTTACTCCATCTATGACGTTTACTGAAGGGAAAATGACGCTTCCCCGTACTCTTCTTTTTGAAATGCAGCCTTTTGGCGAGAAAGAGGGCCGTTTCTCCCGCGTACATACAGAACATAAGAGAACGCTTAGAAAAGAAAAGATCTACGGATTCGTTCGGAACGTTTGAAAGTCAGCAGCGATAAAGCAAAAGCTACAGTAGATATACATGCCACAGGTATACATTTTGAGAAAGGTAGCCCAATATGGTTGTACAATCCCAAGCGGCTAAAAGGACTTTGTCAGAAACTGCAACCGAACTGGGAAGGCCCCCATACCGTCTTCAAGAAAATTAACGACCTGATCTACCGCATTCAGTTGTCAGCGGGAGGTTAACCCAAGGTAGTTCACATTGAAAAGTTAACGACATACCGTGGTCCAGATCCTCCTCGTTGGTATAAGTGTAATTTCGTTTCTTCTATCTACCTGTATGAAATGTATCTACTATCTGTTTTTAACAGGTAGAGGGTGGGTTAAACCGCGGCACTTAGACCTAACTAGACCCATTGTACATCATCCTAAGTAGATAGGTACCTCCTAGCTCGTGAGCCAGTCTACATATTTAACGTCACCAAGAGATGCTTCTCTTATATCGGTCGGTGTTAGCCAATTCTCAATACAAATTTAATAAAAGAAAGCATCAGGCAATTGTAGAAGATATTCGCACCCCCTGCAGAGTGCGGATTCTGACAGCTTTATGATTGGAGATGCTTCCGTACTTGGCAGAATATCTGTGATCAGCCGCAGATTCTATTTAGTCATAGTCAACTATTTGTTTGCTGTAGTGTTGTCAGGATAACTTAAAAGCTCCCTGGAAATTATGTAGCTTCTCGTTCTATCCTATCTTTCCTTGAATTTCACAAAGGAATGTTCTTTAAGTTTTACTACCGATGTTGTCAGTCCAACAGAAGGGCCAGGTCTAAAAGTATTTGGTTGGCTGCCTTATTGGCTAGTAAATCAGCAAGATGGTTACCTTTCGATATGACGTGACCTTTGATTCATCTTAAGTTGACCAAATTATTGATATATATTTCGGCCAAAGCTTCGTAACATTCTAGTACTAACCTTGAGTAAAAGCGTGGTTTGTCCATGCTGAGTACTGCTAGTCTGGTATCTGTAAAGATGAGCATGTTCCTTCCAGTGATATGATTTCTGATGATTTATTTTGCTGCTTTGAGAATCCCCGTGAGCCCGATTTGAACTACACTAGCACTACTTTTCACAGCCCATTTTATGTTTAGGTTTAAGGATCTGGAGTATATTCTACAACCTGCGCCTTGTTTTTTTTAGAACCGTCGATGTAGATATAAATGTGCCTGCTACTTTTGGATCTTTTATTTGTTCTAACTTTATAAGGCTTATTTTAGAATTTTTGATATCCAGACAACTGCACCGTATGTAAGCATAGGTATTATGATGGCCGTGTAAGTCCATGCGACGACTCTGGGGGAGAGACCCCTGGTGCGCCTCACGGTTCAAGGGCATTGTTCATAAGCAATTTATGCATTTTTTACTCTTTTTTCTAGGTGTGAGTTCCATGTTCTTAATGTCAAAGGTGAGATCTAGGTATTTCACTTTTGTTTACTTTTGTGTTTAGGAGCTCTGGAGGTTTCCATTCCATTCCATTCCATTCCATTCCATTCCATTCCATTCCATTCCATTCCATTCCATTCCATTCCATTCCATTCCATTCCATTCCATTCCATTCCATTCCATTCCATTCCATTCCATTCCATTCCATTCCATTCCATTCCATTCCATTCCATTCCATTCCATTCCATTCCATTCCATTCCATTCCATTCCATTCCATTCCATTCCATTCCATTCCATTCCATTCCATTCCATTCCATTCCATTCCATTCCATTCCATTCCATTCCATTCCATTCCATTCCATTCCATTCCATTCCATTCCATTCCATTCCATTCCATTCCATTCCATTCCATTCCATTCCATTCCATTCCATTCCATTCCATTCCATTCCATTCCATTCCATTCCATTCCATTCCATTCCATTCCATTCCATTCCATTTTCATTCCGTTCCTTGTGAAAAGGACCATTTCTGTCGTCTTGGGATTGATAGACAGCGAATGGTCCTAGCACCACTGTTCTATAATTTGGAGAGCTACTTGGATTCTTTCACAGAATTTTTTTATCAAAGTCCCTATTTGCAGAACACCAAATCATCTGCATACGCTTTATTATGTAGTGACTGTCATTATTAAAGTGGCTGATGAGGGTGTCGAAGACCATGTTCCACAGTAGAAGTGATAGCACCCTTCCCTTTGGACATCACTCTTATATTTAAAGATGCTGAGAGCAATTAAACCTTTTTCCGGCTTTTGGTTTTTATTTTACAACTATTTCAAAAAACAGGTCGCTTTTCGCCAGGTTGCAATTTTTTTGGATATTAACCTTTTCGCCGACACAAAAAAATGCTTGAAATATCAACTTAGATTCAGAAAAAAGTGCGTTCAAGCTATATTTTGATTTTCGTTAAAAAAAAGGTAGTAAATATCCAGTCACGTAACCAAAATCTCTTCACAGTAAGTAGCAAAACCGGATGACAAAAAATGCTTGCAAAGGGATTTTTTTATTGTTATTGACGTCTAGAAGCATTGCTACTAAATAATGGAAAAATCCATCGATAAGCAACTTTACTTTCACAGGTCACACAAACGCTCCCACCACCGGGACATAATTCATGTTGTGCCCAACTATAAATAGTCAAAAAAAGGCAACTTGGGTAAAAGTTGCTTATGATGTCATTCTCTACAATTCTGCATAAAGTTCTTCATGAATTTAACCAAAATAAATCTATTAAATCTACCAAAACTGAATTACTTACCTATATAGTTAGTATAATTATTTTGGAATTCAACTAGGCGTAGAATAGGATTTAGTTAGTTAAAGAGAGCTTTGATTAATAATACGAGTAAAATTGTTTTCGTTTCAAGACTCTTTCTACAAAACCAATTTTAGGTGTACCCCATGGGTGTACCAAATTTTTCATTAAATTTATTTTTGTATTTAATAAATATTGACGTAGCTTTATCACACCCTGAATAACTTATACAATAAAAAAATTATCAGTTATCTAATAAATAAAAATTCATCTTATTTCAGTAACAGATATTTCTAATTTTTTGAACACTGTATGATTTATTTTTCAGAGTGAAAGTAAGCATTAACTAACTATAAAGTATAACACATGATATAAAGTTTCATGAAAAAAACATGGGGTGGTAGAGATTTATATGAAAATATTAATTATGCATTCCTTACTTTTGACACCCTCTTACAGCTCACCCAGTAGAGCTGCAAACTTGGGATACATAAGAAAGTTGCCTGTAATAACCCGAAAAATAACATTTAAATTTAAACAAATTCTGACAGTACCCAAAATCAATGTAAAAAGTGTGGAGTCCTTTGAGGTAAAATGCATAATTCAAATTTTTCCAATTATTTTTTGTACCTCAGGGACTAAAACATGCATTTTATTCCCTCATTTTAGGAATTGAAGTGCCACTTTTTCTCCCTTCGGATTAAAATATTTTAGTCCCAAGGAATTAAAAAATTTTAGTCCCCCAAATAACAAAACCAATAGAAACCATAGCACACTACTTTATTCGGGAGGTAATATAACAAGACCTCTTTTATAAGCGAATAAATTTATCGATTTTCCCAAAAATAGTTTTGTTTAAAACTTTGCATATATGTTTATTTATTAATAGTACAATTATAAAAAACACAATTGATTACTATAAAACGTCAAAATAATAAATTTATATTTATTTTAAATACATTTTATTTTGCATGTGATATAAAGGTTTTCACTTCTGTCGTGTGGTCTTAAGCATACACTATTTTTAATATTTCCATACTTTAGTAAATTTCTGCAATAATCTTAGTATGTCAGTGTGACGCAACGGCAAAACGCCTGCCTTGTAAGCAGAAAAAATAATATTGAGTGTTTCTTTTCAAATAATTATATTGTAAATTTCTTAGTTTTAGTTCCTGAAGTACAAAAAATAGCGTATGTACCACAAGACTAAAGTGCTTGTTAATCACTCTCGGGATTAAAAGTGGCACTTAGTCCCTTGGTACATAATATACTATTCACTTATACCACTAGTGCTTAAATTATTTTCGGAATTTTTTTCAAATATTTAAAAAATTATCCCGATAACATACTTTATAATTTTGGTCCTATACATTTCTCTAAAATGGATGGTACTGGAAAAATTTGAGAAAAAGTGTAAAATTTACATTTTTCAGAATTTTCGTTGACAATAAATATACATGTATAAAAAAAATATTTCTAGTAAGATATGTGTAGAAAATGTATGTATTTAGTTCCTTCTCTAAACATTTACAGGAGCGATAGATACAATAGGTTGTACAGAATAAACGGAAAAAGTCTGTAATAACTTTTGGTAAGACAGGAAAGTCACGTGTTGGAGACATCAGATTTTTTTAATTTACTTTTGATGATGTCTTTTCCAACTTCATTCTGGAAAGCGAATATGGGGTATCGCTTGTTGAGGGATTTGTATAGTTGGTTCTAAATTAAGCTCTCTTGTTGTTTGGTTAAATTTTATTATATCTTATGGTGCTTCCGTAATTTACCATGTTTTTCTAAGCCTAACTCTTCAAGATATTTCCTTTTTTTATTAAAATTGGGCAATTATCTATTATTATTTTCATTTACTGATGTTTTAAAGATAGAAAGTAAATTGTGTATCTAGTTGTACAATCTGAGGGGATTACTTCACCGGAGATTGGGGTAGTAGCCCCAAGAACTACCTTCTCAGAGGTGTACATATAGTCTGAGTTTATAATAAAAGTTAATAAAAAAAAGATCATATATCCTGTGAGATGATAAAAGGTATCTAAATCAAGTGACCCCCTACAAATCTTTAATTTTTAAATAAACTATTAAAAAAACACCCTGAAAGAACTCCTAATCAAAAAATAAAAGTATAACATTACTTCACCAGTCTTATATTATTATTGGGATAGTGACGCTTCTGACGACTAATCCCAAAAAATCACGTCATAATGACGGCACCTTGCTGCTAGGGTAAGAACTTGCTCCTGCAGACTCACCTACTACACCTTGTAAAGCATGGTGCCTTTTGATGTGGAGTACACAAATCGAACAATTACTGACAAATCTTGTAATTATGGAAACAAAATTGAAATAAAGGCATACTTTGGCTTACTGTATCTAATTGCAATTTTCAAATCAGCACACGAAGACACAAACAGTTTGTCGGATTAAAGACCAATAACTAACTTAAAAATAAGACATATTTAGGCGATATTTGCAAAAAAATTTCTGTTGTTAATAAAAAACCAGGCACTGTCAAGTTAACCACAAATCACGTTTTTTTATTACACTTAATAATTGCAATCCCTCCTAAGCTTTTGTTAGTCGTGTGAAGTACACACAACAAAGGGTTTAATTGCATTAACCGCTCGAACGAACCTTGTATGACATCATTTTGTGGATTAAACCAACTGGAAAAACGCCTTTTATTGTTGATGGGCTGTATCGTTTACCATGGGGGCATTCAAATTAGATTTTTGACTTTCTTTAATTACCTTGTAAATGATTGATGTCAAGCCGATTTTTTTTCTGTTTTATTTAATGAGTCTAAGAGGAGTTAAAAAATGAGAGGCAATCAGTTTTAATAATATTTAGTGTGTGGAATTATCTAGCCCGAATAATTCATGTTGTTCGTTACTTTCTCTTAGAATCATTTAGTTTTAAGTAAATTTTGATATTAAATAGACAGGATTTGTCTACTCACCGACAGGCTTTCTTATCGTAAGAATATCTTTTTCACATGAAATCACAAAATCTGTGCAGCCCATATAAGTTTTAGGGGGTTTTGAACACGTAAAAACCCCCAAACTTTTCTATGCGTTACAATTAAATTAGTTTTTGACACCATTGATTTAATAAATCATTTTTTAATTTTTTTGCTTCTTAGCACTTTTTTGAAAAGCTAGTTTTTATCGAGATACGGCCTCTTTTTCATTATCCTTCAAAAATTTATAAAATATATGTACAAATTTGTAGTATTTACTATAATAAATGGTCAAAATGGCCTCCATTTTTCTGAATACACATTCGGCACCATTTTAAAAAGGAAAACCGAATTTTTTCGGAAGAGCATTGGCATTTTATAATTTACCTTTTTTTCCAATATTAATCAAATTAAAAAAATAAGGTAAATAAAAGATATAAATACAATTTATGGTAATAATATATAATACATAAGAGTGATTTAAAAATACTGCGTATCACATTAATATGTACTTATAAAAGAATACATTGACCTACGTCGATATTTATAATCATACTGTATATATAATACATAAAATATTTTGTTTTATTATTAAAAATAACAAATCTAGCAATAATTTATTTTTAAGTAAATATTTTTACCCGTTCGAAAATTAAAAGTAATTATCTAAACCACGTCATTACTTATATGCAACTCACCCTGTAGAGGAAAATATGTTTGACCTCTTTTATATTCGTAAAATGCCAAAAGATGTTACAATAAAATTAGATACAAATATTATAATCAATTTGCTTTCTCCTAGAATAAGGAGTAACAAATTAGTGGATTAACACTCTGTATCTTAAATCCAGTCATCATGGGTACTACTGCTCATGAGGCCGAAAGCTATAACATATCAAAAATTTATAATATTTGACAGGTTACCACTTTTCAGTAAGATGAAAGACCTCGCAGATGTTTTGTTGTCTTATTTTCTTTGATTTTAACTGCGATTTATATTCTACCGCAAAAAAAAAAACGAAAAGAAAAGAAACAGATAAATAAAATTCTACTACGGATCTGTGGCAAATGGAATCCATCGAATGCCAACAACCACACAAACAAAAAGATAAATAAAAAAACCGAAAAGAAAAGAACAC